CTCAGCAAATTGATATTAAGTCAGCATGAGTTTACCAGCGTCCATTCAATGTATTATCTGAATGAGGCGAACTTTGGCTTCAGATGAGAATGCAGCTGAAAATGTGTTGTTAAAAACGAAGAAAATCACTTCTTGTACAATATATAGACTGGAGAAGGGACTTTTCCATCTGGCATCTTGAAAACCGTCATTTGGCCTATATACTAAATCTGGCAAAATAAAAGTAAATAATGATGATTTGCTGAAAACTCTTTTGCATACAAGTTTTTTCTTCCTTTGTTCATTCAGTTTGTGATTTTGAAACCATCAAATTTTGATTTTTAATGAAGTTTGAGGAGACTTAACATTTTTCTTGATAAGGCATTATTTGAGAACTGCAAAAAGGCCCTTCCTGGTACCACCTCATTGAGGAGGTGGCATTGGACTAAATCTTCTCACAGAAGAAGTCCCCACTACCCCTCTCCCCCACAAAAGCAGCACCATGTGGTCTGGTGCATTTTGAGCTCAAGAGAAGGATCTAGAAAGGCCTGAGTTTTAGCCCCCATCTCTGCAGCATAGTGGCCTTATCAATGCTTTTTACTTTCAGCTTTTTACAAACCATATTAAGTTTGAGGCAGGTAAATATAGTTCAGCCCATATTACAGATGGGGAAATTGTGGCTGATAGAGGTCAGGAGATCTGCTGAAAATCACACAGTAGCACAGGCAGGATTGTTAGAATGTCAGACTGCTAAATTTATGCCAAATCTACTAGACCATGGAGACTCCTAGACAAGGTGCATCCTCAGTCCAGTCTGATTCTGATCTCAGTTGCACCGGTGTAAACCTGGAGTCACGTCAGAGATAGCAGTGGAGTCACTCCAGATTTACACAGGTATGACTTAGAACAGGATCTTGGGTAGAAAGAGCAACATTTCTGAACCCCCAATGTTCCAAATCAAAATGTGTTGTTTCATCATAGAGATAACAGGGGAAATTGGAGATTTGATTTGGAGATCAAAGCATACAGGCCTCAGCTGTGAGTTGCATGCCCAAGCAGGGAAGTAATGGGACATATGGATCGCCTTACATCCCCAAGTAGATTACCCACATCACACTGAGAAGCAGGGGGAGACAACAGCTGCCACTGGGCTGTTACTCCACCTTCCACATACATAGGTGGGGAGAGTCACATTCCTCCCTTTACTGGTAGCCAGCCCAGAGGAGCAAGTAAGTTGTACCAGCCAAAGAGCCTGAACAAATTATTTTCCCCATGGAGCAAAGCGGGAATCTGGGAGCTGATTGTGATCCCCGGAGTTACGTTCAGGTTCCTGTCTTGCTCTTGGGGCAGCACAGCTATGCACTGCCCTTGACTTACACTCTATCCCAGCAGTTCTCAAACTGTGGGTCAGGCCCCCAACATGGGTCGCGACCCCATTTTAATGGGGTCACCATGGCTGGTTGAGATTTGCTGGGGCCAGAGCTGAAGCCTGAGCCCCACCACCCGGGGCTGAAGCTGAAGCTTGAGGGCTTCAGCCCTGGGCAGCGCAGCTCAGGTTACAGGCCTCCTGCCTGGGGCTGAAGCCCTTGGGCTTCGGCTTTGCTCTCCCTGCTTGACGCGGTGGGACTCTGGCTTTGGCCAACCTGGGGTGGTGGGGCTCAGGCAGGCTCAGGGCTTCAGTCCCCCCTCCTGGGGTCATGCAGTAATTTTTGTTGTCAGAAGGGGGTCGCGGTGCAATGAAGTTTGAGAACCCCTGCTCTTGCCCACGAAGACCTTTGGGGTGCATTGGCTCTTGTCCAAGTGCAGTTCTGAAGTTACCTTTGTACCACCACAGGAGATTTATTGGGTGTAGAAAACAAGCATCTGGTGGGGAAGTGACTTGCCCAACCTCACGCAGCATGCTAATGGCAGGGCTGGGAATTGCACCAAGGTTTTGTAAGTCCCACACAAGTGTCCTAGCCACTAGGCCACAATGGCTCCCAAACTTACTGTTTAGGCAATTTTAAGATCAAAGAATTCACACAAGTGGTAACTAATATGGGGAACTGACCCTGGGAAATGAGTTAGGGCTTTGGTTAATTTGTTCTTATTGGGAATCAAGTATTAGTCTTTTGTGGATATATTGGTAAATTATTAAATATTATTTTTCTGGGTCATAAACTCTCCCAAGAGTGACCCAATAAATCTCTCTAGACCTGAGGAGCTTTATAGTATCTATACTGGTATTTTTAGCAGTGTAGTATCCTGCTACCTTGGAGTTCTTCCCCATCACAGTGAAAAACTCCAGAGGTGGGGAAAGGTTCTGGCAGGAGGGTGTCAGCAGGGAAAGCTCTGGCAGCTCCCTGCGGCCGAGCCTTTCCCTACTGCCTCTCTTGTGTCAGAGCCTTTCATAGACATGAGTAGCTATGCACCCCAGTGTGGACACAGCCTTCGGTGTGTAGATAATGGATTGATCAGGGATCTTGTCCACAGACTAAATTAAGACATGGAGTGAGGTTATATATTTTATTGGACCAACTTCATTTGGTGGAAGAGACAAGCTTTCAAGCTTCAGAGAGCCCTTTGATTACCTTTCCAGACCTGAAGAAGAACTCTGTCAGGATCAAGAGCTTGTCCTTTTGACAAACAGTAGTTGGCCCAATAAAAGATATTACCTTATCTTCCTTGTGTGTCTCATTGAATTCACAGAAGTTTTATTTCTGAAAAATAAATTACATTCTCTTGCTGTCTGTCTATCTAAAAAATGCCGATAGATAGACAGGCAGACAGATAGATATAGATATAAAAAGTGCTTTGTAGATGTATATATACAAAACAGTTTCTACCTATAAAAATTCAATTCTACTTTAAGCAGATTAAGTTATATTGAAAGGATTTAGGAAGGCCTTTTGAAGTTGAGAAATTTATGTACAGACCTTGCCTTTTAACTTATCTGGAATTATTTTACAATAATAGTAATCACAAGTTGATTTTAAAAAATTAGCATGAATAAAATAATCATAGAAGAACCCAGCCTGAACACCTACCCTTCTTGCCCAGAAATGAAAATAGGAGGAAATATTAGAGGCTAAGTTCCACCTTTGATTAGATTGCGCAGTTTAACTGAAGTCATTGTGGTTGCACCGGTGAAATGAGGACAGAATTGGGCCTTTAGGTCTAATATTGCTTTCTCTTACACTGGTTTTATACTAGTCCTGATTTACACACACATAAGCAAGATCAGAATCAGACCCATTCTGCTGCTCGTACATTTCTTCTCTGTACTTTTCTTGATCAAAGAAAAATTCCGTGAATTTTTAATGAAAGTAGCTGCTCCAAAGTGGGCAATCGAACAGTTTTGATTCAAACAGACACTATAGTCTAGAGTCACAAAGAAACACAGTTTCTGGGTCTTTTGAAGGCAAAATGGCAGGACCAGAACGAGTAAGATAGGACATATTGTTATGATCCAGATTCTGCTCTGAGCTCCTCCCTATAAAGCCCAATTGAGTTATTGGAATTGCAAAGCGTTAAAAGTTGGGGGGAAAATTTGGCCCCGGATCTCATCTTTTCTTTTTGTGTTGTGTGATTTAACCTTCTGCTTGCAGACATTTGTATAATGAAAGTTATTATTTAAAATATCATTGACACCGCTCTTTTGAAGGTAAACTCTATTGCACATCCGAGGGAAAATTTCAAAGGAATCCATAGGTGCTGGAACTGGGGGTGCTCCCGCACTCCCTAGCTTGAAGTGGTTTCCAGCATATACAGGGTTTACAGTTTGGTACAATGGCTTTCAGCACCTCCACTGTAAAAATTATTCCAGCACCTCTTGAAGGAATCGTGAATTAAAAACAATTCTGGGAGAGATTTTCAAAGTTTAGGATTCCCAATGACCTGTGCTCCTAACTTGCTGGGCCTTTTTGAAAATCTTCTCCTCTTTCTCAAACAAAGAGGTCTTATCACAGACCTGAGCAGCCATGAAACCCTTGTTTTAGGCCAAACGCTAGGGTGGTGTCTGTACAAATGAGTTGCCAGCTGAGAGACTGGGGAAGAAAGTCTGATTTGTCAGGAACTGTGCAAACAGAATCAAATAAGGTGTTATGAGACAATGTTTTTGGTAGCTAGTATTCCCTTTGTATTTTCCATAATGTGATTCATTTTTCTTTGTAATGTTTTCAAGATGCCCATAAAGGATAATCAGGAAAAAAAAATCCAAATTGACAGAACTGATTTTAAGCTTCAGGCTCAAAGCTTCAGGTTGTTGTTGTGGATTCCAAGTACACAGTTCTCTGGGTGAGATTCGGCTCTCATTTGTGATGATGATGATGTAAATCTGGAGTAACATCATTTACTCCAGTGGCTGTCCACTGGATTTACAGCTGCGTAACTCAGAAGAGCATCTAACCCCTCATGACAGCTCTGAGACCAGAAATGTAAAATACTCTTTTTGATGGCCTTTGGGACAGTACAGAATAGCCACGCATTGACTATTGTCAGATAAAATGAAACATGTTTATAACCTTCACATTTTAAATGCTTATCATGCACTGAATGATTTTTGCACTTTCTATAATAGTAGGGCTTCTCCACATAAATGCTGGGAAAATACAGCATTGCAACTTAATTATGGATAACAGAAAAAATATACTCATTTGACTCTGATCTCCTAAGATCTAGTCCGTCGTTCAGAAGCTTAGTGTCTTCTCTCTGTGATGTTCCCTGAACATTACTGTGACTAATAGCTCTTCAGGTGCATTTTTATGATTTGGGAAGCAGTAAATTCTGTCTGTGTTGCATTAATTATCTGCAGATTTAAAATGTTTCACCAAAAGCCATTTAACATGACTACCGTGCATGCACAAAGGCCACTAAAATCAATTCCTTGCTAGAACAAAGGAGTTGCTGGTTTTTAAAGACAAGATCCATGTAACTTACAATACGATAAATGTAGTCATAACAAATGAAATCAAAAGAGCTTCAAATTCGGAGTTCATTTTAATTCTTGTGTTTCTTCCTGACTCTCTTTCTTATGCTGCAAGACAATCCTGTTCGCTGACTGGGACTCCATAGCAAGCGAGCACTCTGTGGTAAATATGAGTGTGCAACACATGATTTATAATGTCTGATACACTTGTGCTAATTGCATCAAAAATAGCAATAGTGGCAGAGTACATACATTATCTAAGCTCTGAAAATATTGTAGAATTTGAATTATGTGCACCTTAATTCAAACTAGGGTGTCATATTTTGTAACTGTATATCACAGAGAAATTCAGGCTGTCAGTTAGCTACAGCTGCTATACAGATATCTCTGTTACATCTGATTGACTGCGTTTTGTGTACTTGCTACTGATGAAGGTGAAAATCCCAAGTATGGTAGAGGAGAATTGTTTTATTGTCACTTTTGGATGTTGCTTTTATGAAGTGATTAGCCATTTTGAACCTGATTTTCAGCTTCCAGCTAGGTGGTATTTGCATGTTCGCAAATGTGCATGCACTTTGCACACGCCCCTCACCGTGTGCACACCCAAATCCCCGCCTGTGAACAAAAAAGGCTACAGGAATACCTTTCTAGCCCTGTGAGTATGTAAAATTGGGATCGCTTGCATGCAAAGCAAACGCCTTTTCACAAACGCAAATGTGCACTTACCCAGGAGGTAGGCTAAAAATAAGATCCTTGAAGTAAGGATCAGGAGGAGCATTAGACAAAGTAAATAAGTTAGCCCTGGGATGGAAGTTAGTGTGCTCCAAAGTTTGTTTTAAGGGAAATTCCAGGGGCCAAATTCAGACCTTATGTAATGGATGCAACTCTCCTGGAAGTAACTAGGCCAAATTCTGCAGTGACAGAATGGTAATGTAACTTAAACCTCACATATAACTGTGGCATAAAACTGGGGCAAGTGCTAAAATAATGCAACTTCAACTGATTTATCTGTCAGCAGGTATGCAAAACCAGTGTAAGTTCCAGGCCAAAAGGGCCAGAAATTAAAATGCCCCAGGAAAAGTAACAAGGAAATATGCACAATAAAGCAGCCGTCTCATCCCACCTTACATTTCACCTTCTCACTGCTCCATTTTTCCTGCTGTAATCTCCACATTCTGCTCCCTCCGCATAGATTATGGATTTACTTTGCAAACTCCACTCTCACGAGCGCCCATTTTCTGGCCAACTTATACCCAATATGTAACTTACAACACCATTTATGTCACTGCTTATGTAGTAGTTTTACAGCCCAAGGTGAAAGAGAGTTCAAGGGGAAAAGAGATAAAGTGGTTTCATTCATTCATTGTGACGCAATATAGGAGGGCTTTGTAAGTTCTGTTACATATTAATTTCATTCAAATCCAGCCATATTAAGTTAGTTGATAATGATTTTTTTCTCCACTGTGACTCAATTACAAGACATTTATAAATCCAAATGAATGTAAGATGAGCACACAATGCATAAAATGCATTTTTCTCCCCCTTCACCATTACCAAGGATGTGACTTGGTAATTATGATCAGTTTACAAAAATGCTTTAAGGGGAAACATTTTATGATCAATTTAAGTATTACTTCGGCTATTAAGTTACATAAACTTTATTAGTGGTTTCATTAGAATAGAAAATGAAAACACTGACCTTTGTGCTACTCATTTCTTTCTATTTCAGTTTAAAAGTTTATTTTCAATGCTTTCTTAACAAATTTAACAGACAACCAGCAAGGACCAAGCATCGTTGACTTTAATTAATGTGTGCCCAGCTATCATACCAGGGCTGACTTTGGCCCAGTGTCACCATGTATTTAAAACATACCGTGGTGTCTGTAATATTTCCCATTCTGAATATATGGAGCACCATGTATGGCATGGTGTGGTAGACCCCAAGCTTTTAATAGCACCTACTGTACTGTAAAAATAGCCATAAAGTTTTAACTCCTACAAACAGAACTAGAACTGCAATCCTTATTCATGCAGCTACCATCAACATGTAGCAATCACATCACTTCCCACTGCAATCTCTGCTGGGGTGAAATATCAGCTGTTACCACACAGCAATGCTACACAACAGTATAGGAAAATAGACGAAGAATGCACAGCCAATTGCAAGTGGAAAAGTAATTTTAGTAGGGAAAATGTATTTATATGTAAACTGATGGTGTTCTAATCCAGCTCCAAATAAAAGCTACACCTTAGTCAGCTCCAAAAAGCTACCCTTCCTGAAGTACAGTTTTATTAACAAAAAGATAACCTTCAAGGTAATTGCTGTATGTGGACCCCTTGGAGTTTTTTGGATGCTTCTAGGCTGGAGTTCTTTCTTTCAGGGCCTCTCTGACTCAGGCCTGTACTCTCTTACAGAAGGCTACCTTTACCCCCTTTACATTTGGGGTGGTGTATAATGAGCTACTCCTGTCCCAGAGAGTCAGCAATAATTAGTCTGCAGCTCTCTGGAGGGTTCCAATGCCTGCTAGCAGGGTGGGCTAATATTAAAATCCTGCCACTCTTTTAAATTACCCAAATATGAATTTTGACACTGGGAATCAAATGCAAATTTAGGTGTTTTTGTTTCATTTTGTTTTGTTTTTTTAAGGGCTCTTTGGTGGATCAGAATATTGGTCTTATACTTTATCCTGAAAATGTCACCTCCTCCAGCATCATGCCCAGTAGCTCCCTCTGCTCAGGCATTGGTTAAATACTGACTCAAAAGGAAGTGTTCTACCTGTTGATTCTCTAGCACCACTTTCTGAAGCATTCTGTGTATTGCTTGAAGATCTCCTATCTAAGAACTGATTAAGGCCAACCCCGCTTAGTTTAAGAAATCTGGCATGATCAGAGGCAGAGGTGATATATCTGTAGTGGCCTTAGATACTCCTTCCAGTAGGAACCGAGGTGGCATGGCTGATTGACATTGTCCTTATGGAAATATACTTTTCTTCCCCTATCGAAAGAATATGTCTCTTTCTTGAGGAAATTTTTTTTCGACAATGTGCCTGAGCTCCAGCTGCACCCAAGCTCAGATCTCCCACACAGAAGCATGCTGAAACATTGTCCTTTTTTAATAAAGAGTGACAGGTTATGTTTCATAGATTGGTTTGACTGCCTAATGTGTTCCTACCAACCGGTCAAATTCACTGCCTAATGTGATCCTAGCAACCAGTCAAATATTAATGAGCCAGCACTCAGAAGGGCAGAGTGATCTTTCTATTGTTCATTATGTGCCTAGATAAAAGAGAGGTTACTTTTTTGTACTGCACAAAATTATGTAATTTTAGTTTAGAGTAATTGCTAATCACCGAAAATTGAAATGATCCTTGGTTTTGTTTTAAAGAGCATAGAAGAACAAGAAGTAGAGGAAAAACAGAAGTAGAAATGGAATATGAGACTATAGTGAAAGTGAGTGAAATGTTCCCCTTCTTATCTAGAAATGCGCATGTTGTTTTCATTTTTCATGTCAAAACGTGAGTCGGTGGGGTCCACAGTTTACTGCCCATTAGTTCACGTGATAACTGAAATCTCTGAAGGTTTTGAATCCTTTTATTATCTGCTGGCTTCGTAACGTATGTTGCCACTGGTGGTTATACTCTTTTTAGACTGGGAAAGCAGTTTGTGGCTTCTTTGCCTCACACTCCACCCCACTGTTTTGTTTGTAATGCTTTTGTCTCACCTCTAATGCAGCGATCAAGAGATGCATGTAGCAGCATGAGTATAAAAGCTTTTCAGGCAGCCATCTCCACTGCCTTTTTGATCATCTGAGCATCTTCTGTTCCATCTCTCAGCCAAGTCAGAGTCAAAATCCCATTCCCTCGAGACCACCCACGAGAAGGCCAATGCTCTGTTTCCCATAGACTACTGGAAAGTCCCCTGAAAAAGCAAAGAGAGATTATGGGGAAGGAAAAGAGGGAACTTAAAGTCTCCAGAGAAGGGCATCAAGGACTGGCAGCATCAGGGAGGGGAAGGGACTGCAGGCAAAAAGTGGGACAGAGTGGGGCACAGAAAACATTAGAGGCGTGAGGGAAGGGGAGAGATTCAAGCATTGTTGTTAGGAAAGAAGGAGGAACAGAAGATAATAGGGTAGAGAAGAGAGTGCCAAGGCAACAGATCTTAGGGATGGAAAGGAGAAGAGAGGTAACCAGGAGACGGGAGAGGTAGGGGAAATTGTGGCAAGCAGTGAAAGGGGGAATTAGTGGAGCCACCAGGAGAGATTAAGAGACAAAAGGGGGGGAATTATTCTGGTGGAAATGAAGAAGACTGAGGAAAAGGCAGACACACCCACCAGGACAGATGAAAGTAGAGTATAAGAAAATAATTTCTTTCTTTAAATTGTTTTATAGATGGGTTGATGCTCAAAATGCCCTAGCAGAAGGGATAAGAGTTTGATTGTGTGTCACAGGGCAGTGGGGATATGACTGTGTAGGAGGAAGGAGGCTTGGGACAGCTGCTTGAAGATGCGGATGTGCATGGGATCTCAGGTTTTCTTCTGTCTAGGGGATGGAAATAAACTGCTTTGGTTATTAATCAGTCATTTTTGTTTGCTTTGTTCTGATCTTTTACCATTTACCTGATTCTACCTTTCTGAATGTTTTAATATGCGTTGTGTCTTGCTGATGGAATAAGAACAAGTTCTTTTGAAGCACTGTCGCTTTGGGGGGACTAGCAAGGGACTTGGGAAAACTAAGTATTGTAACAGAACATAACTTCCCATTGGAGAGTTCCCATAGTAAAGGATTTCAGATAATCTCTAGGAAGGCACTTACCTTTGTTTGCATACAATACATATTTTTCAGTGTTTTTCATATTTTTAGGACCATATGGTGCCAGGGAGCAAGGGGCAACAGCCTTCACAGAGCTGCTACTTCTCCTCCTTCTGTCCAGGTAGAGAGGGAGGAAGCCAAGGGCTGAGGAGTGAGTGGAACACACACAAGTGAAGCAATTTGTGCCAGCTGTCAGTCCGCTGCAGGTACTCACCCCAGCCCTCCAAGAGGCCGATTTTGACTCTGAGTCACAATCTAGTTACCAGTGTGCTTCTGAGGAAGCACAACCACATGTTGCTGCCCCTTTCTCCGGGCTTTGGCAAAGCCACAAGTTAGTGCATAATCTTTAAAAATG